ATTGACGAGCGCGGATTTTCAATTCAATATCTAGCGCCTGATTACGATTTACAGTAGACATAATATATTTCGCACACGTGTTTACTGGGGATCTCAAAAAAAAAAAACTTTTTTTTCAATTTTTTTAAAATTTTCTCTTTTATCAAGCGATAGAATGAGAGAGAACAGCTGGGTTTGTCAGAAACCATTCAAAACTCTAGATTTTTATAGATAACTAAGTGGTGTTTCTAGCGTGTTTGAACAAAGAGAAATAAAAATTTAATGTCGTTGTGGACCCCCTCTGCAGTTGTCACGGACCCCCGGACCCCAGTTTGGGAAACCCTGGTCTAAAACAATGTATGGGTTTCACTATTCGTATCACGAGAGCTCAAGTATGAATTGTGACAATAATTCTTTTGTAAATCTGGTCTGTAAGGTAGAGGTTTTATCGGGTTCATCATATCAATCCATCTGCAGTTGATCGACGCCCCAAACAAAATTAATTTAAATTACAACGATAAAGTCATTGCCAACTTGGCACCAAGCTCGAAATCCTGCTGTGCATCAACCGGAAAAGATCTCAGCGGCCTATGCTTTTGTAGCGCGTCTCGTAACCACCTGCAGGGTCGCAACAAGTTCATATCTCGCTGGGTATCAAGGCGAAGTACTGGAATAATATACTGTTCTTGACAGTATGCATAACCCTTTTATTTGGATGGTAATATTAATCATCGAAAGCATGCAGAACGGAAAAAGCACGCATGTTGATTTTTAGGTTTCTGAGTCTTGCGAGATTTGACGGAGCGCTTTCGCGATGAATCGGAACCGACAAAGCGAAAAGTGTGATTACTCAGCGCCAAGACGTCGCCAGGCAATCAATACCGCAATTATTAAATAAAAATATGAGGGCGGAAGAGAAATTGCGGGATAAACCAACGTAACTTCTACTTATTAATTAAGAAAAGCACGCAAAACGGAAAAAGCACGCATGCTGATTTTCAGGTTCCTGAATCTTGCGAGATTTGACGGAGCGTTTTCGCGATGAATCGGAAGCGAAAAATCGAAGAGTGTGATTACCCGGCGCCATGACCTCGCGTGGCCATGCCTCTGCCTCACGTATCAAACAGCAATATGACGGCGGAAGAAAAATTGCGTAAGAAACTAACGTAACTTAGTCATTTCGGCTTCGATAAAGCGATTGAGTCGGTAGAAAAACAATAAAATGAAATTTTACACGGACCGACAAAAAACCTTCGCGGACCGGCGGTTGGGAACCACTGCCCTAGTACACCCCATATTGACGATATGTTGGAAATTTCACGAATGATCTATGATTATGACCTTGCTGCCAATGCAAATGTACTCTTTATCTTGCAAATTTTCTCCCACAATACGCTACATGCGCACTTAAGTACTTTTCGGATCGTAAGGATACATACTGCGAAAAATGTATTAGGTGCCATGACGTTTTAATTCAACTAAATAATTGCCGTTTATGCCTCGATCTTGTACAATAATCATATAGCCAGCAATGGAGCTGAATCACATACCGGCCAACGACCAGGCTGTTTGCGACAGAACAATACCAAAGAACCATATGATTCAAGGCATATACGCCAATCAATCGAGTCGAACCTTCTCAGACATATGAATGCACTGATTTAGTGCTATCACAAAAGTTTGGAAACATTAGCTGAGCTCATCTGTGCATCTACATATACAGGGAAAACTTCTTTAAATTCCCCATTGTGCGATATTTTTTAGAAATGAATTTCTGAATTACGAGTCAAGTTTGATGCTGAGAAAGCTTTGCGCCGTATTTTGGTCTGACGTGGATGAGGAGAATTACGATGACAGCGATGTGTTATTATCTGATGAGGAACCGACAGCGCAAGTTCAGGTTTGATCCTCTACCGCAAGGCTTCCTAAACTAGGGGCCGCGAAGAGAACACCAATTTTATACAAAGTACTATATCTATATCAATAATTGAAAATAGTGTAATTTCACGATTCCGAGTGAATATACATCATCATACCGTGTTTTCCCGAAAATAAGACATTGTCATCAATTTTCTTTCGAACACTGGGGCTCATTTTTGGGGATGTAGAGAATAACGAGATTTTTTTTATATACGAAATATGAATACCGAAATATATAAATAATATGATTAAATATGATACCAATTTAATAGCACGTTTCCATTTAAAATGGCTGCTACATATAGATTATTAACCATTTAAAAAGTAGATTTCTTTCTATCGACTAGGACTCAGTGGTTTTCGAACTTCATTGTATTGTGACGCCCTCCAGAAATATGCTCAAGTTGCAACTTCCCGTGAAACATACCGTACGTATTGATACATTTCAATATAATACCTTTTTTGCAATGAGTTTTATATAAACGAACAACAAAACCTAACAACATTCAGTGAAATCACATTTATTGGGCCTTGGTAGAAAAGCCTGATTTATATAAATACGAAATCGCAAAGGAGATCGGGTGCGCGACGCTTTTTAAACCAAGGAAAAACAATCGCTATCTACAGAAAACCGAATTTTCAGAATTAAACTTATTTATTATAACACCATCACGAAATTTTGCGACGCCCTAGTAGAATTGAGACTTCCACGGGATTAGGTGGACAGATTGCGCTATCGACGAAGTCTTTTTTCAAGGCGAGCGGTTGAATTAAAATCATTTTTAAAATTCAGGATTGGACTTATTTTGGGGGAAACACGGTAGAATCATCGCCCTCGCATAATAATGCATATTCTGATCGTTTGACCCAATTTGCGTGCTTGCATAACAATGCCGGCTTTAAACGCTAAGCTAGCGGAAAGCGATTTGCTCAGTGCGCCTCGAAACATATTATATATTTCCAAATGTTTTATTGTTTCTCATTAAAGCATATGATGTGTATATGAATCAAATTCATTTTACCGTTCTATGTTATTTACTTTCTACTACTTATCTACTATTTAAACCCTAATGCTGCAATTTCGTTGGCCGCAGTTTATTCATTTGCTGAACCGAGTTTATCGAACATGAGAGAGTTTTAAGCATTTAAAAAAAAGCTAGGCAGAGTTAGGTCTACATGTTTATAAAAAAAAGGCATAAAGTACATATTAACGATGACAAACTTGTGTTTTATTTTGCGGCAGCATATTTTTTTAGCGGAGGTGCGCCATTAGTTTTTTCCTTGATTGCTGCGTTATGCTATGTTTGATCAATAAAAGTGAACAATTCTGGATTAGGACCAGGTCGTCGGTGGGCAGACATCGTAATTTATCATTAGGCCTGCATAAACAAACATTGCGCCACGGCTGAACTTGCTATGCAGCAAGAAGCATTCGCACCCATTACATTGAATATTCTGAGTACAGATGTTTTTGTTATTGAGTAGCCCTATTAAAAGTTGAGAATTAGATCAATAAAATAGTATCAAGAATTAGTGTCAATAAAATATCAAAAATGCATATTTTGAACTGTTTAGCATTATTAGCGTGAACAAGGGCCGCGAAAAATTTTAATATATTAAAAGGGGTCGCGAGCTCAAAAGTTTGGGAAGCCCTGCTCTACCGTATCTTCAGAGTATTCACAACAAATGCAAATTTTACATGTTGTTTTCTATATTTCAGATATAGAATAGGCGGCCGACGTTCCTTCAACAAAAAAGTACGAAAGTTTCGCAAAGCACTAGCTTTTGCATTGAATGTGACGTGCATCTCTGCGGAGTAACTGACAAAAGATCATTCGAATATTACCACAAGAAAGTGGATTATTGGCGATAAATACTTCGTGTTACCTTTGTAAATATATATTCATCTATTTTACTACAGTGTGATTTTTATGTTCACACATTTTACAAATTACCATGTATGTTCGTGTGTATATTTGTCATTTTATTATAGTGAGATTTTTTTGCGAGTGGAAGTGTGTCGAAGTTTATAAAATATATAACTACATTGTGTTTACTTGGCAAGAAAAATATTTTGAAGGAGCAAGCGACCAACTTCTGTTGTCGTGATAGTGAGCTAGCTGCGTAATTGACGAGCGCGGATTTTCAATTCAATATCTAGCGCCTGATTACGATTTACAGTAGACATAATATATTTCGCACACGTGTTTACTGGGGATCTCAAAAAAAAAAAACTTTTTTTTCAATTTTTTTAAAATTTTCTCTTTTATCAAGCGATAGAATGAGAGAGAACAGCTGGGTTTGTCAGAAACCATTCAAAACTCTAGATTTTTATAGATAACTAAGTGGTGTTTCTAGCGTGTTTGAACAAAGAGAAATGAAAATTTTAATTAAAGGTGTCAAAATGAGCTCAGATGGATGGAAAATATTGGGTTTTAAACTTTTCCGCGTGTCCCAAACTTATTCTGATTTTCTCACACTTGCCAGGCTTGTCTCACACACGTGCTGATTAAATCAAACTTGTCTTGCTTCACTCACAAATTTTCATCCCGTCTCCCATTTGTCTCACACTTGTCCTGCTTGCCCACCTACATCCAGACTAAATCAAACTTGTTTTGCTTGTTTTACAATTTCTTTACTTGTCCCTATGCAGCATAGTTCGTGAAACCCAACTAAATTATTACAAAGGTGATTCACGTATCTGTTAATTCCACTTTTAAAATATTTTTAAAATTCATACGAATGAATTTTGTTCACAAAGTTGCGCATAGTCGATTTCTACTTTTAACTTCTCCTTGAGTATTATAGCCTATTAGTTGAGTCTGGGACCACAGTGCGTTGATGACTTCCGTTTTTGACTATCTCAGAAGTTAAGCGACGTAGAGCAATTTAATTATTTCAATTCGTTTAAGTAAATTTGGTCAGCATTTACAAGCACATACCTGAAATGTGTCACCGCATACATTATTGCTCAGAATATTCAAGGTTTGTTTACGCGTAATTGCAGATAATCTTGAATTAATTTTTCCTCAGGACATCATTTAAATACAGTGGTATATTTCCGTGATGTTTACAGCAACACAATCTGTATATGGGCTATTGATAACTATCTTAGTTAATCAGACGCTCAATTACTTTGAAATTTAATTTTAAACGGTGCGGACGGTGAAACTACCCTGTCCAACTGATTTTGATAAATACCAACAAAGCAATTTATGAATGTAACTCGTTTGACTTGCGCTTAGGAGTAACTGTTGTGAAGAAGTTCAGTACAAAATGCATTCCAAATGTATCTTTCTGTTGATTTTGCTTGGAGGGATTGAGGTAGAAATTTGTGCAACGTTTAGTAAGTGTTGTTTAATTTTGTGTGTTTAATTGGTTTGTGTGTGTAAGTGTTGTTAAGATGTCAGTGAAACTGCTTTAGAGATCATCAAATAAAGACGAATAGGGTTTTATTTTTAACGCGATATTCTGATTAGATTATTCTATTATTTTGCTTATTACTGAGAATATTGATGTAAATTGATTTTACTCATTATACATTGACGTTATGTTCTGGCATAAACGGTGTTGGAATAAAATACTATTAACTTAAAGGAATCAAGTTATAATGTTACGTTTTCAAAATTACAGGACTGCCTTCAAGATCAAGTCTATTCCAAAACATACGTACAATTCAAAGGCCAAAGCCAAGTATTATTCCAGTCAGAATCAAGCCAACGCTTAGTATTATGACTCAGGCAACACAATTTTTTCTTGTCCTCGGTTCTGCTGCAGGTCTCGGAAAATATCCGTATGCTGTATATATTGAAATGGGAAACGGAGTGGATAGATGCGGTGGATCTCTACTATCAAGAGACTGGGTTTTGACAGCGGCTCATTGCGTGGACGGGAGGTGAGATCATTGTGCTCGGAAGTATAACTATCTCTAAAATAGCATGTGCAATACAAATATTTAAGAATGAGCAAATGTTTGGTATATTAACTGGATTCTATTTTTCAAAATTAATTTTCGCTCTAATACAGAAACCAACAGAATATATATATATGATCTAATCTTGCTCTGAAATTGTTTCTCATAGCCACAGCGAATAAATAATAGATTGCTAGATTCAAATCGGTCAGATGAAATTATTCCAAATCCGGAAGATTTTGTTAACAATTGAAAAAGTAGTGTATTTTTTCAGTTACTCGCCAACTAAGATAATAATTGGTTCTAATTATAATGATGGTTCTGATCCAAATGCTGTTACCAGGACAATGAAACAAAAGTGCTGCCATAAAGGTGAGTTGTTGGAATTAGCTTCAGTTAGCACGCGAAATTCCAAATAATTTTTTTTTTGTCGCATCTATTTTTGATTGATTCATATCTCAAACGCCTATTCGATCTAAGTCAGTGCTCTTCAACCTTTTTGTTATTGTGGAACCCCTGATATAATTTTTCGTTTTTTATGGAACCCCGATTAAAAAAAAAAATTCTAACTTTGGCAATTGAATTACATCTGGTTCGCTTCGGAGGATGAGCAGGTCATCGTTGTTATTATCTCGCCTCACATTAGAAAATATACTATTTTGCTTCATCTGTATTGACTAAATATTAAAGAGTTGGGTTTCACGCTATTTATAATATATTCCAACAAAAGCTGAACAACAACTCTAGTTTCTAGTAGATACTCTCTCTAGTCTCGAGCAATGTCTACATACTTTGAACACCATGTAACTATGATGCAACAATAGCGTTCTTGTTAGTTCCATAACAATGGCTAAAGTGACGCAAAAACCGAGAATATTTCTGTTTTGTCTATTAACTGCACTGTGACTAAACCTCCTGTTTAACGAACTGGTCTACTTGGAGTTTGAATGCGACGCGGTGGTCTAAGAATATTTATAATGACGCATCAACATGCTAGAAGCAAGAAATGATTTCCCCCGAAAAAAAAAAACGCGGAACCCCTAAGGAACCCTATAAACTCACGGAACCCCACTGCATGTACTATGGAACCCTAGGGTTCCGCGGAACTCCTGTTGAAGAGCACTGATCTAAGTAGAAGAGCACGTAGTTATACGATCATTTAGGTTATTCTTTGGGAAATGTATTTTTATTTGGTCTTGATGACATTCGACAATTTTTATCTTTAGTTAGTTATTGGCCATTGCATTTAAGATAGTCCTTTGTAAAACTTTGTTCGATTTTACTGAAAAGATAGATTTGTAGCTATAAGTCTTTGTTTTTGATATATTTTCTCAATACGCCTCATGCAATCTCATAAAATCTTTATCCTTTTCTCTTGAATACGCTTAATTCACTTTGCAGACTATAACTCATTAACAAAGGCAAATGACATATGCTTGATAAAGTTATCTTCGCCAGTGATATACAGCTCTAGAATTCAAAAAGCTACACTACCACAAGCAAACACCAAAGCACCTGACGACAAAGTGTGTACCGTAGTGGGATGGGGCTTGAGCGAAAGTAAGAGAAAAAAAACACGGATCTTTAGTGATATCTTACTAAACGCCCGATAATTATAAAACTTATTGCTGCATCTGAGTCGGAGGCATATAGTCTTGTCAATAATGAACTCGCTATAGTTGAGGTATTTTCTTTTCAAATTAAGTAAGTATCACCTCTGCAATATTATAACTGAAATTTCGAAAATATTACTAATGACATCCCCATTGAGAAAAAATGTTAATTAAGATATTGATTTATAATATTGGTATAACTAGAAGATATAAGTAAGCATCGTACGTCCATTGACAACACTTTGCTTTGACAACACTTTGCTGTGTGCATTTGTAAATATATATTAGCAAATAACAATTCTCAACATTCACTCTTCAATAATAGAGAACTAGCTAGTTAATTACTTATTCTTCACAAAATATTGTTTTAGATTTCAAACTTCTTCCTGGATTGCAGGAGGCGGATGTATACATAATTAACCAACGTCAATGCAAAACTTGGTATGCGGAAGAGTCTGTCACTATTCCAGATCATCATTTTTGTGCAGGGTATGTTAATCAAATGACGCTTTTAATACACATGAACTTTGGCTAAGTTTATCACGCATGCTAAGCTGGTGCAGTTGAATTGAGACTCGTTGTGGCAGCTGCGGGTTTGAGTTTGAAGCGAACAGACAAATATTTTATTCACGCCATCATTCCGAGAACCGCCACCATATCAATGGTTTCGTCGGTTCAAAAGGCTGACGTATTGCGCATGAACTGATATTGTACCGAAGCCTGGAACGTCATTCCACACTATATCTTATAACGCTAAGCTCTAATAATACAGTTATTTTTGCACCATTTATTTTAGATTTGTACTAGTTGTATACTTTATTTATTGTTAGTATGAATATACCTTTTTTATGTTCAGCACATTGCCTGCAAGTGTTTGTTGTATCGACAACTTGTTCCTGTAAATATTCAAATTAGGAGATAAAAACAATTCCAATGCCAATGCAGTAACCAGCGTGGTCATATGTTTTTGACCAGTTTGGAAATGAATAATAAAGTTTTCTTTCAAGCTACCAGTGCGTGTTAATATTTTGAGGATATTTAAAAAGGCTCGTAAAAAAATTTAATATCCACAGACACGTTGGCGGTGGCCCCGACACGTGCGGAGGCGACAGTGGTGGCCCATTAGTGACAAAGGAAAATGGAGTCTACGTATTGCGGGGAATTACAAGTTTTGGTCCCATAGACTGCGGAAAGGCAAAACGGCCTGGCGTATATACAAGAGTCAGCAGTTACGTATCATGGATCACAAGCAAAATGATTCAACCCTGTACAGGAAAGTTGCGTATGTGTCATACTTATTTTTCCTAAATTGGCCTGAGGCTTTGAATGAGGGAAGTTTCATTCAAATTAATCACTAAAAATTGGCTGCAATAATTTTACAACTTTCTTGCACAATGTCAAAATAACTATCTAACTTGTGAGATGTCTAGGAAAATAGACAAAATCAATCCTTAGTTTAAACTGCGTTTTTTTGGTTTGGATGTCAATTTTTTGATGATTTTATATCCAATGTATGGATTTTTTGGATTTAAGATGCACGCTTTATAATATTTCTTTATAGAATATAGTTGGAGTTCATGGGATGTATCCTGTACAGTTACTTGCGGGGCGGGTCACGAGACAAAAGCACGAAAATGTCGAGATTCTTCGGGCCTGATAGTGCATCCGAGTAACTGCGAAGGTTCACAATTTGAGACTGGTCTTTGTCATCTTCCTGATTGTTCAGAAGGTGAGCATAGAATGGTTTTGTTGCTATACATAAAGAAAGTTGTTAGCGTTCAGTGATCAAAATTATTAAATATTGAAGTCTACAGCAACCATTCATCTTCCAATTTATGCTCTATATGTACTTGCTAAAACATAAATAGCAATGTTCATTTATTTGGTAAATAGAAAATAACAAAATTGCCTGCAATACTTATAAAATTTTTTCATCTCCAGTATTTTGAAACCAACAAAACATTCCGTCACGCTCATAATCAAATCACATATGTCACTTTTTGGCGATTCTGAGTTTTCCATTTCATTTTTCGAGTTTTGCATCATAGATTCCTGCCGAGCGCTTATAAGTTTGATATACATTATAAAAGAGCATAGATGAGTGAACACTTGTGACATCCGAGTTATTTATTCCAATATATATTGGATGGCCTTTATTTGAGAATGCATTGCAATTTCGTTCTTTGTATTTAGTATTTATTAAAATCATATTTTGGTGTGTGCATCGTGTGCGTCGTATTAATAAAATATATATTAGAACATAATGAGAGGTGTTATTAATATGAATAATATGTTTTGGTATTGGATGTCGTAGATACTGCAAAATATATACGTTTTCCGAAAGTTCGGTTTTCAGGACTGGTGGATCAAGTTTCAAAATTGAGTATGTCCTCATGTCATAAGCACAATTATGCTCAAGTGACAAAGTGCCATTATGACGTTACATGCTTGCGTCATACAAATGAATTTAAATCCGGTTACGACTAGAAAATTGATTCATGAGAAATTATTTACTCTTAATTTCATACCTATTTGTTTTTTCTATGTTTTACTCGAAACTGATAAAAATGACTGTCGCAGTTTTGTTATTATCGTGACGATTCTATATATTATATGAATTAAAGTTTTCATCCTATACCAATGCCAAACTACACTCCTTTTAGATGAATAGATGTGTGATCATTTAAATTAAATCTTTGACAAACTCATGTTATATAGCCCCTCAAGTGTCGGGGTGTTTATAGGGTCACACCCGCACTTCTAAACCACTCAACAAATAGAACGCAAAATTTTCCACATACTGCTGTCAACGTATGAAGATCCAGTTCAAACTAATCCCACCAGTCCCACGTACAACTTCTAAATTTTATATTGTATTAGTTGCCTATTTACAAGTTAATTTATTATGGTATTGAAATAAATATCAAGTATGTAATTAGTATGTAATTTATTGCCTCAGTGTACAGTTGGAGTGGTTGGGATGTGTCCTGTACTGTTACATGCGGAAAAGGCCACGAAACAAAACAACGGAAATGCCAGAATGCTGCTGGAGCTATAGTTCACCCGAGCAACTGCATAGGTTCGCAGTTTGAGACTGGTTCTTGTCACCTTCCAGATTGCCCCAAAGGCGAGTATGTTTTTTTTTATGTTTTTATTTACTATTCGTCAGAATTCAATTTCGAAATACAACGATACAATACAACAATACAATAACAAAATGTTATTAATTGCATAAAATCTATGACTTCATTTGTTTTTATTAAATGCACTGCTTTAATATTTTTGCACGTATGAGTGAAAAACACTAAATTTTGGATGGATCTTTCAATCTAGAATACAGTTGGAGTCCATGGGATGTGTCCTGCACCGTTACTTGTGGGAGAGGTCACCAGACAAAATCGCGTAAATGTCAAACTCCCAAAGGAAAAATTGTTCACCCAAGTAATTGCATTGGATCTCAATTTGACACTGGTTTCTGTCATTTTCCGGATTGTCCAAAAGGTGGGTATATTTATGGAATGGCAGTACTTATTTTTTCATGCCCGATTTGTATTCCCCGATTCAAAGGAGGAACAAAAACACAAAAAAGGAGTTTTATAGGAAGTCTAAAATCTAAATCAACCCGTATGTACTTTATATGCATCATACCACTCATTTTATTCAAGGCTTTCTTTCACTCAAGACAAAAATTGATTTTTTGTTCCAGAATTCAGCTGGGGTCCTTGGGATGTATCTTGCACTGTTACCTGCGGGAAAGGTCACGAGACGAAAGCGCGAACTTGCTACAATTCTGTGGGCGCTGTAGTTCACTCAACAAACTGCATAGGTTCGCAATTTGAGACAGGAAACTGTTATTTTCCGGATTGTCCCAAAGGTTAGCGGCGTTGTTTATGATTGGTACTTTTCCTTTGCTTGCCTACAAATAGTAAGGTGTGGCATAGGAAATTATATTCTCTTCTTATCAATACTATAAATCTCTCACGCTCTGTTGAACTCACTATTAAAGAAAAGCGTTGATGCAAAGGATTTTGGTCGAACTATCTATAGTCACAATTTAAATATTCCTATCTTATTCATTTTTGTTCTTTTTTATTAAATATTTTGATAATGCTACAGAAATCTGGAATGCGTTTTTGAGTATTAGCCATTTTTTTATGAATTATACTAGCAAATAGATGCGAAAACTATTGTTTGAAAGATTTATTGCACACGATTCTTTTGCTTATATGACATTTAAAATTAGTTTCAAATTTTCCCCAGGAGACGGTACCTACAGATGGGGCGAATGGAGAGATTGGTCTCGATGTCGAGTGAGAAATAACTGTAAAGGATTCCGCTCATCTATTAGATATTGTTATATTGGAGAAAATGTAGGTTTGCACGTTATATTGAAATTCTATAGTATAATCTGTGTATTATTACCTGAGACTTCAACAGTGAAATATGTATGTTTATCATAACCTAACAATAGTCGTAAACTTCAAATGTAGTACAAGCAGAAGATCATTGAAAATAAATATAAAACTATTATGTTTTTGTCATTTTTCAGGACGTGGAACCTAGTCTTTGCATAAGCAACATTGGAGGAGATTACTATCGGGAAGAATCGTGCCAATATTCAAACTGCTGAACACGTTATATATCATGGATGGACGCTGCTCAAAAATTACCCCACGCCCAAAATCCGAACATTTTTGTCCTTCTCCGCATCTCATCAAATTTCCGTATTTGTCGTAAATGAGTTCATTAAAATATTGTACTAATATAAAACAAAGTTTATATATGTGTGTGTTATATGCAGGATATCAGTCAATGCAAGCGCAAAAATAACTCCGGTCGTTTACATGCCGTCGGGATATCGCAATGCATCATATGATTGAATATTGTTTGATGTTCGTGCCTAAAGTCTACATATATGAATATTTATATTAAAATACGGAACTGTCGTAAATTTATACGTAACATCGAAAAACTTGACAGAAAATTGGAAAACTTAACGTATTTATGTTTTTAAAAGTTAGAACACCTCGTGCGATATGTTGGCACATGAGTTACTTGTTGTTTAATCCATTTTTATTTTGTCAAGGTTGGAAGTTAATATATAACATTGTCAATTGTTCTAGCTTTTATTCCTATAGAACACAAGTAATACACAAAGTTTTTTAAATATAATAATGCACTTTATATAATATTCAAAATAAAACATCTAACAAAAATGAATTAAATGCACAGCTTCTTCATAAACTATAAATTCCATTTCATACATTATAAAAATATAAGAGTTTCAACAATATGAAAGTTTACATGACTCTTCTCTGTAGTTTTCATCACCTATTGTGTTGGTGCAGTAGTGAGGAGCGACGTCCTAAAATGAAAATAAAAAACCTAAGTTTATCAACTCAATTACCGTTATCATAGCGCTGGGATATTCTGCTGGGCATCACAGGTTAAAGGGTACTCCCGAAGTATGTGAACCAAGATGGCGGACGCAGGAACGTAGTATGTGTACCAGGTTATGGTTAGGCCATAATTTTATTCCAATTTTCCTTATTTTAGTTTTATTACAAGTTTAGGGACTAGCCAAGTGTCTCTCGTAGTATTTGTACCTGAAATTATAACCTAACCCTAACCTGGAATATATATACTACATTCCGGTGTCCGCTATCTTGGTTCACATACTTCGGGAGTACCGGTTAAAGATATCACTTTTGAAATAGCCTACTGGGGTTTCAACTATTAAGACTACAATATTCAAAATCATAGCCTTCACGTATTGGTATATGCATTCCACGATCTACTACACAGTAATGAAGAGAATTTTCACTTTCAAAATTTGATGTAGTAATAATTCGAATGGAAATTATTGATTTTAAATTATTGTTACATATTTATACATGAAAAAGTTGGAACTTGAAACTTTTCTATTCTTTAAAGTTTTTACCTCATTTCCAGTGTAGCAAAATCGAGTTGCGAATCGGAATCCATTGCATCCTCCTCTTGATCGACATTTTGACCACGATCCCCATGATCCCCAGTGAAATGCATTTTTGTCTATCAAAAAATATTTAATGTTAATACCAAGGTATGTCCATAAAAATCGAATACCAAAGAAATTTGTTGAAATGAGAAGATCTCACTTGTGTTGGGTTTAGGACAATCACTTAAACCACAGTCTTCTAATTCAAAATCATTTCCGTCGCAATATTTCGACTCAACCATTTTGTCGTCATTATTTTGGCATGTTCGATATTTCATTAGTTGTCCGTGTCCACAAGTTACGTCGCACGATAATTTCTCCCATGCGCTCCATTGATATTCTAAATAAACAAAGACAAAAGGAAAAGGGATATTTAAACATATTGTTAGAAACCGCTGATATAAAAAATAGCATTTAAAATAAATGACTAAAATTATTAAAAGACATGACTGAAAAACATGACACTGCGCTTATCATCATATTAACATGTAGAGAAGATTTACAATAGAATAACTGTTGTATCAATGGACGTACAAACACACACACAAGTTGTACTTGAAATAAAATAATATTTTAACAACTCCTTTTAAATATTGACTCGCCCAAACCGATTTTATACCATTAGCTCGTGGTAAAATGTGTCAAAACCAAATGATGTATTTCGAAATATTAATCCTCTGTAAATTAGCATGTTATCTAATTTTAGATCTATATCTCTTTATAAGTTTAGAAAACGGAATATTTCTGCCTAAAGCTACGAACTATTAATGTAAAGCGGTTGTTATGCTACGAAAACGACATGTAAATAACGAAAACATTTAAAGGTTTTCTAAATTAAAATTTCCAAATGTCACGAGATATACTTGAGAACAATGCAGAAGAGAATATGTAATCATACATGTCTTAATTTAGGCCGTAAATATTTAATTTAAATACTATCCGAAGTAAATGTTATTGGCGGCATCATTTTAGCGCTGTTCATTTTAAATATATACCATACATAGGCTTAAAGCTTTTGTTCACATTTCAGTGCTTCAATTATTTAATATTACTTTGATGTTCAAAATTACATTTCCAGCGTATTTCTTTTATTTTCTAAATAAAAAATACCTTGCTTGCATGTAGGTCGATAGCAACGTGATTCTTTGCGATCCTTTCCTGGTTTGCATCGAGATGGATGAGCTGGTTTTCCGGAAGAATCAAAGCAATATCTTTGTAATGTCTCAACTCCTATGCCACAAGTAACGCTACATTCTCGTTTCCATGGACCCCAATAGTAATCTAATGTAACATAAAATATCACGTGTTGAATACTAATCGTAAGGGTAATAGTAAGGCTATTGGATGGCGAGTGGGGCAGGTGTAAGCAACAGTTTTCAATAATTATTAACTACCAACCAAGGTACTTTTGAAATTCATATAATAAAATATTATACAAAGCTACTCGAATCCAGTAAGTAAGTTTGGGTAACTACTTGAGCGTCGCACCTTGAACAAATTGCATTTAAACCTGGCAAGGCAAGACGTAAAGATGACTAAATCAATAATACAATCATTTCAAATATATTCAACAAGTGATACACTCCGCAGACAGACAGCATGAGTCAAAAATTCAAATTAAAGTTATTGAAAATAGTTTCTGTGTTTTGATATTATTGTTGTGGATAAATACCAAATTTAATTAATTCATATACGATTCCTATATTTAAACTTATAATGATTATAAATCTAACACATTTTGAAATATCATGAATATTAAAGGCCTCTTAGAACACCTTAGGCCTCAACTTGAAGATTTGTTCTTTTTCAAAGTACGGAAATCGAAGTTACGAATACAAGACATTGGATTGCATATTTCATAGCCTGGATGCTATTGATATAATTGAACAAAACTTACTTTTAGGACATGCCGCCTGTTTGCACGTTCCTTGTTCTACGGACCTTCCAAGGCAATTGAAATCAGATACGATATTGTCGTTGTCGTCCAAGCAATTTCTTCTGTTGATTTCTGTTCCAACTCCACAAGTAACAGTGCACCAAGTTTCCCAAGCACCCCAACGATATTCTATAAACACATGCTCTTGATTTAGCAAAATTTAAAATGAACTAGAAAAGTTAGCTCAAATGTGAAGATATAACCAATTATACTTCTCGGTCTTTAGTAGTTTGAAGATTCTACATACCTGGTTCAGTTCTGCATCGTTCTAGAGTACATTTGCGTTGAACTCGACTTCTTCCCGATGTACAGAGTGATGTATCAACAACATAATCATTAGAATCTAAACATTTTCTTGACCGTGTTTCTATTCCGTTTCCACACGTAACACTGCACTCGACTTTCCATGCTCCCCATTTATAAGCTAAAAATTAAAGTAAACATTCACACAATGTATTTGTACTATTTATCAACGATTTCGTGCGACTCTATTTCTTTCCTGATTGTAGTTGCCTACTGAAATGAATATTTTGTAGTGTTCTTTTATAAGAGATATTTGTTATTTTTTTCCTAAACTGACCATATATATAATATGTCAATATCCACAATAACAAAACTGAAGTAATATTAAGTTTTATAAATTTTCACCAACACAGGAAAGCATTTTCTTGTGTTTATTATTTGAAACTCACATTGATAAATTCACAGATGAAGCTTGACAACCTGGGCTTAGCAATATTATCTACTGAGATCATGAGCACATGTCAACTCATATCAGAGTTTTGTGAATCAGGGAAACTCCTAACTATACAAACTGTAAATAGCTGCGTAAAGTAGTATTCATTTAAAACCATGATGTACAAACAATGTATGTATTACACAGATGACGCAATAAAAATAATGTTCTGAATAACTTACATTGACACGAAGGTCTGTTACAGGATTCTTTTTCTATATTTTTACCCGGACAGTTAGAAGAGAACACGACTTTATTTTCCTCATTTAAGCAATTTCTAGTTTTTGTTTCAACACCATTTCCACATGTGACACTGCATTCAGATTTCCAAGCTCCCCAGTGATATTCTGAAATTAAAATGGCAGTGGTCAGAATCTGATGGCTTGAAAACTACAATTAGGAAATTTCAGATCTTCGAAACATTCCATGCGAAATTACTATTCACCTATTTTGTAACGCTATGTACAAACCTGGTTTTGCAGGGCATTGTGGCCTAATGCAACTACGTTGCGCTGTGCTACTTCCTGAACCACATCTTGATGATTCAACAACTTTGTCATTGGAATCAAAACATTCTCTTGTTCTTAATTCCATACCTTGTCCACATGTCACACTACAATCACTTTTCCAAGGACCCCATTTGTAAGCTAAAAATAAAGCAAACTGGAATGCAAGTACTCTATCAAATCTTATTCCATATTGTCTAATCTCTAACGTAATTAATTTTACATCTGTGCATTTCACTGCCTGAGAAAAATAAAGTTGTCACACTCACTTTGACAAGGCTGTAGTATACAAGTTTCTTGCTCCTCGGAATTACCGGGACAGTTGGAAGAAGAAACAATATTATTTTGTTCGTCCAAACAATTCCTCACCTTTGTTTCGATTCCATTCCCACAAGTCACACTGCATCGCGATTCCCATGGTCCCCAGCGGTACTCTATTGAGCGAAAGTAACATTTTTAATTCTTTACGTTTAACTGAGCAAAATCAAGTATTTAAGATCCTTGTAAAGCACCCCTTCGTCTACCTGACTTTATATATACATACCTGGCTCTGTGGGACATAGCGGTCTAGCACATCTTCGCTCTACCCTGCTACCCCCAGTTCCACATTCTGATGCATCAACAGGCTTTCTATCCAAATCTAAGCATTGTCTTGTTCTTGACTCTATTCCGCGACCACAAGTGACGCTACATTCAATTTTCCATGGACTCCACGAGTATACTAGAATAAAAAAATGAGAAGAGAAATATAGATAAATTCAATGCGTCTCAACAAGTTGCCAAAAGTCAAAAGTATTTGCGTGTCTGACTTTAATTCTAATCTGAATACGAATGATATTCGAATTTACAATAAATATAACTTATATTATATATCGATGTGTATGTGACTGTACAATTTAATTTTATTACAAAAATGTTTGAAAACTAAAACATAATTTTAGAAAAAATTGGTTTTCTACCGACTATTTTGAAATTATATTCAAATTTATTGACTGTTGATGAAAAAAATCTTCTTAAGTAAATGTTATTTCTAAAAGACATCTTGTAATGATTATTTTCGATTAACATGGGAAATAGTCGGATAAATGCCCCGAATTTTTTTAGACAATGTTATTGGTTGGAAAACGTGAATGGCATAAATTTATATTTGAACTTGAAGCAAATACCTAAAAATTTGAGAAGATTTACTAATTGGTATCATTGGACCAATTTGAACCAAAATTATGACAAGATTATTTTAATTTATTGGTGGCGGAAAACGTATTTGAAATAGCACTAAACGTGAAAGTATACGATGTACGATTTGGATTAAAACGAAATACTTTTTACTTACGTTTTTCTTCTGAACATGGGGCCTCGGTACAAGTATCGTGTTGTACAAATTGTCCTGGACATCGATTATTCGACACTGTATTTCCTTCGGGATCAACACATCTCCGTCTTCGTACTTCCCTCCCGCTTCCGCATGTGACAGAGCACGTTTTTGTCCATTCACTCCATGCTGGTTCTGAATTTCAAAATTAAAATTGTCCATTTGTCGACAAGATACTAATCAGTGTATAGCAAAATTTCATTACTAAACTCACCTGCACATGGCTGGCTCATTTTTCTTCTTATCCATGAAATATAGCTGCTAACTCTTGTGTAAACTCCGGGCCGTTTAGCTGATCCACAATCGGTTGACCCAAAACTAGTTATTCCACGCATAATATATGAATTTCCTTCTCTTGAAACCAAGGGCCCTCCGCTGTCACCACCGCATGTATCTGACCCTCCTTCTTCATGACTGGCATAAGATACGAGAAAGTTTCAATAATGCTGAATCTTTCGGGATTTACAATAGCCCACATGATGTGTTACTGCGGTTGTCCTGCTTGCTCTAACAACACATTACCTAATCACCTTTAGCTAACCTTAAAACACTAAATTACAGATATAACTATAAAATTCCAATAGCAAGAAAAAACGGTCAGTCAGCACTTTATTTATCTTTATCTTTCCTATTTTTATCATTTTGTTCGAATTACTTCCTGCCCGATACAACGACCATTCAAACACTCATCTAATATCAGCGCAGTTTCAATATCACAAAAAAAAACATTTTACATACCCTGCACACAAGTGATCGTCTGGTATTTCTCTAGAATCTTCCTTATACCAAGATTTACATTTTTGTAAATTTACTACGTTTACTTCTGCCTCTTGCAGTCCTGGGTGCAGTTTGAAATCTACGGCAAGAATAACAAGTTAATTGAAAATACTAACATAAATTTAACAGTTTAACAAGTTCCAAATCAGAATTTAAAACATAAAGTATGTTCTCGAATGTTGGTAGAAAGGGACCAAATTACTGATCCGAATAATTTTCTTATGAAAATTTAATAATTGAATAATTTAATGCTGCTTCAACATATTGTACAGTACAAAACTTAGTGCAGTTTAACAAAATCAAGTATATTATTGCATGATATTGTTTTCTCACTCTTTCGTGTTCGAAAGAACATACCTTCTGTTAGTCCCCAACCTAACACGGTGCATGTTGTGTCGTCAGGGACCCTTGTATTTTCCTCAGGCAAAGTAATCTGCTTTATGTTACTTGAATATTGAACAGGCGATGAGAGTTTAATCAGACAAATGTCGTTTTCCCAAGTTCTATGGTTGTAATCTAAACATGTAATTAGGTTGATAAAATTATAGGTTTCACGGGCCCTGCGATGGCGCAATACTATTAGATATAAATCAAATGACATTTTTGTAGCATTGTACCGAGTTTTTTGTCGACTAGTGCGTAGGCCGTAGAGAGAAACTCAGCATGCACTCAAAATAGCAAGAATGAACACGGTTTTTTGTTTTTAAAATTCTCAAATTGACCAAATTATCTTAACATGCCTGATAAAATATCATTCTGCCAATATTTAATGACACATATATGAAGACAGATCAAATGTGTTGAAAAAATAAAAATATTACTCTTACTTTCATGACAACATTTCTGTTTGACAGTTCGAACAACAGCATTTGTATCTGCGGATTCGTCATTATAAATGGACCCGATCACGATTTTTGTTGCAGAGAATCTACATGAGAAGAATATAAAAATGACTGGGAAAATGCTATGCATATATCCCGATTTTCTCAATGCAAGCAATTCGAGCAAGCCAATTTAATGAGTCTAGAACAGAAAAGTGTATACCTGAAAATCATGGTTATCGTGGAAATAAAAACTTTTTTTGGTTTCGTGATATATTGTGATTAATATATTGACCAAATAAATTATATAATAAACCAAATTGTGACCAAAAGATTAAACATACCAACGAAATTGATGTGCGTTACTACACGTACACGTTTGAAAATAACACGCTATATTAACTTGGAGTTTATAATTAGTCGTCATGCATATCGCGTGTCACAAACTTTACAGCCTAAAGTATATTACGGGAAAGCAGTAGATGCAGCATTTCTCTACTTTCCAGAACCTAAAAACTGTACAAGATTGTATAGTAAAAGGCAAGTTTTGTAACGGCAAAATCGGAATATTTCAGCATTTAGACAAAAATGACGAGGTTTCCCAAAATTATTGCCTTCAGCAAATCGATCGGTTGTCATACTATGGTACGCTAAGCGGTTTCGAATTCATATAAGCATTTCACGATTTCACGCTGAATAGCTATGTCCAAAAAACTTACCTATCAAAGCAGTGGGCAGCAGTCAGCACCCATTCGTTTGAGAGCAATGTTCCCCCACATTGCCTGCCTCGCTCAATTTTTATAAACACCACCCATGGCCATTTACTAGGTATAGAAAAACGTCCTTTGAAAATTCTTGCCCCTTTCAGGGTATTTGTGGTCGGAGATGGACTTTTGGGATTACCCGAGACTTTTGTACCTGTATCAAAGAAATCAATATGTTACAACTAAGCATATTTTGCCAAAATAAATGTTAGAAATTAAAACACTCACCACCGGTATTTTGCGCGAAAGTGTGACTGCTAAAGAAGAGAAAAAAAACTATACCGAAGAATGCTGTAATTTTACCGAATGCCATATTTCAGCTAAACTTAACAACTCTGTATCTCAAGGTCTTGGACATATGAATCGGATTTAGGATTGCGTGGATTTATATAAGTTCCAGACTAAGCCGAGATGGCTGACGTCATTTGTGTACGAAATTAATAATCACAAAAGAGGGAGATCATTTTCAGTGACTTTTTCTATTTTATAAATCCTAAGTATTTTTTTGGCTTTACGTAAGTGAATTTGTGAGCTTATCTTAATATAAAATGATTTCGAAATTGATGTGCGCGTAAAATTTATCAGAGTTAATAAAATCTGTTGGTCCTACATTGGCTTGACTATGCCATTATGTTATATTATGATATATTGTACAGAAAATCAATGATCGACGTGTAAAACCAATTATATACATATATGACAATGATCTTGCAAGATGATAAGATAAAATTTATATAATTTAAATAGTATAATTATATGCATCGAAGCGAAACTTGGTAATTACTGAAATAAGCAAAGCATATTATTTTGAAAAGATGTGATTGGATTTCATAAGATTGTCTTGACCACTGGAATAAAGTTTTTATTGGGCTGCTAAATTTTTTTCCATATTATATTCTATATTTTATGTTAAGGTATTATTCTAGGTATTCAAAACACTTGATTTCCAATCTGTAGGTTTTCATTTAAACGCATCATTCTTTTTAGTAATCATCAAAACCCTTTGTTGTAGAAAAAAATTGTATAAATTTTTTTTCATGTACTAAAGTTACTGGGTTGCTTTGTAGATATTTGTAAATAAAACGTAATTTACATGTTCAACCATACCAACAGTAACATAAAAATAGCTGATATTTACGATGTAGATCTGTACAACAAGATTATTATGCAAGATACTAAAAAGGTCGTTCTAGTCTATGACGTATAAAGCACCGCAGAATGCCATGCAGTTTTTTTTTTGCTTTTATAAAGTCAGGTCACGAGTAATACGAGTATGTTCCCTAAAGCAATACCAAGGAAGATACAAAACGGGAAGTACGAGTATTGATTTCGGGCAATTCCAAAGCTAGTTTGTAGGTGTGGCATCGGGAGTAAGTATAGCAATTGCTAATTATCTAAGAACTCATTAACTTGTCACTTATGCGACGCCCAAAGACGTCTTCGAGGCTTAGCCTATGTTTAGAATTCTTGTGATGTATAATTTCTCCCATTTCTTGTATAAAAAGAATAGTATTTTAAAATATTAATAGTAACTTTTTAGAATGTGCTGATACTATACTCTTAATAATGATAATATGCTATTAATAAAAATTCGTAAAAGAAGGAATAGGAACAAGTTTGTTGCAGTTTAAAACGAAAGATGACTAAATATGTCACTAAAGTCAATGGAATTTGGCTCAAGTTTTGCCGTGAAATAAACTTTGCGTGCATTCAATTCAACTGGTTCAATAATTGATTCAGAGACTGACGGCATACAACAAAAAGTGTATACCTGTAGTATGTGTACCAGGTTAGGGCTGGGCCATAATTTTATTCCGATTCTCCCTATTTTAGTTCTATTACGAGTTCGGGGACTGTTTGTGTTAGCCAAGTAAATATACCCCCCTGCCCATATGCTTCCGTTTCTTTACACAACTTGATGTATAGTAGGCGAACACAATTAGTTACCCCTATATTGGTACATATACTTCTGGAGCGCCAAAAAAAGAAAGTTAAAAATCTCAATTATCAAAACAGTAAACACATTGTAGTTCTTAAAAAACATTTACTCGCACGGAACTCGATTGTTGAACACGATTTACATCTTTGTCTAAAAGTAGGCCATTGTACTAAATTCACGAACATGTTTGCTGACGTTACGAGTGACCTGAATTGTACTTGAAAATTGATAGTTCTGTCGGATTTGGACATGTTTGAAAGTAAATTTCAACTTTTAATTCCCATTTACTTTCAATTCTATAACTTACATCACATCACATTCATGAGGAGAGAAAATAGAAATATGCCTAAAAATTGAATACATACCATTGCACAATCATTTTTTGCGCACGTAGTTAAAATAAAAATGTGATTCATTAATAGATCATGTTTATTTAGCACACAGATGCTGATCAAAATATTTTACGACTCTGTATTTGTGAATGATGACAAATGACAATGGATGGCATTCTACAGTACTTCGATTATATTTTTTAATCTTAATAACAGCATTTTATTGCTGATGGACGGCAACAAAAAAGTACTATTTTCATAATATCAGTTGAACAAAACTGACAATCATAAAGTTAAACATATAAAACTTTATTGCCTCGGGTTCCTCTAACCGCACTCAACGTTTCAGTTTAATAAACAACAAAAAACGGTTTCCATGTTTTATAAAATCTGCGATGGATTTATTTTTTGCAATATAATGGACGTCATGTCAGTAAGATCGTTCGCTCGGGTTTCGGTCAGACGAGTGCTATGTCAGTTATTTTTCTGAATGTATTTTTTATTTCGTAAACCGCTAAGAATTTTGAAAGTGCAAAGACGAAAAACAATTCCCCTCTCATTTGAATTTGTTTTTTGTCATACACATTTAGAACCTATGTTCATAGCGACAAAATGCAATCTGAAAACAAAATTACTTTAAGACCATTTTGCAACCAATATCTTCAAATTCGGTGATTAATTATATATATTAAAATTTATGTGAACTTAAACGGATGTTTCGATCCGGAACAAAGGGAAATATTACAGCTTGTTTGTTGACGACACATTTTGTGTGTAAAACATTGGGACATTTAACCATTACTCTTTATACTCTACAAAAATTCATCAAATTATTCTAATAAAGCTTTTGCAGATTGAAGGTGTGAAAAACTCTCAAAACGCATTTCCATATGCTTGACAACACATAGCACGTAGCATGAAATGGTTCAAAATAAACACATTAAAAATTGATTTTTACCTCATAAATTTGTTATACTCGATTGAATAATTTTGGTGAGTTGTTGCAAGTTTACAGATTATGGTGCAAATTCGTGTCATACTTCATTGCAGAATAAAATCAGGCACTAGCATTAGACTATGAGCTATTGCAGATTAAGAGATGGCCATGCTTGATGTTCCTTCGCGTTGAAAGTTAATACCAATGGCTGTGCTCGGGGGAATTTTTGGCCAGCGGTTAGAAATTCATTATAAAAATTTTATAGCAGTGTCAAGACCTTTTCGAAAAATGATATCTTATTTTCCCAATTAAGCATCGAAAATCATAGATAACGTGCAATTGGTTTCGGTATTCATTAAAATGTTGTTTGGGGAATAAACAAAACCTCAGTATCGAAGTTTTTGGTATTGCTATGTAAGTTGAACCACCACAATACCGTAACTCTTTGCGAAATTTGAAATGTTGTCTTTATTTGAAAAAATAGGTAGAATAACAAGATAGAAACATGTTTACTATGAGAGGTCTTATGCATTTAATTTAGAATAAAATTTTCATATTCATTGCTGAATTACCGCTTGAAAACATTAAAATATGGCCTATTTGTTTCATTAATGTATCTATCAAATAGCGAACGCAGTTATATCCGTCCTGGATTGCATAAGTAAGGTCATTATGACTGACTCGGTTCAGTTATAATTGATAGGCTAACGACATTCAACCCGAATCATATCGGAAGTTTTACTTTGCAGTTTTGTAATGACTATTAATCATCAATCAATCAGAACAACAATACCAAGAACAAGATTAACAACAACGATTAAGCAAAAAGATCAATACGACCACGTCGTGTCCAATAAATGTTACATTGCGTCATTGAAGTTGTTACGATAGGATGGAGTGACATACAAATTTGCTTAAATTTTTGCCCGTTACTTACAATGAAACCAATTCTCCATACCCGACTTTTACATAAGTCGTAAATAATGATCACAAATCAGCACGAAATAAGATGTAATTCGTTATTTACCTAATTAAACTGGGTCTTGACACATACGTTCATTTATCAGTAGATAGATATACAATGACACTTAATTAATGACGTTACACTCTGAGGAAAAATCATCGTTACTATGCTGTGGTGTCAATTCCTCTCCCACACATTGTTCGCGATGGGTGTAACTTTGAATTGGTATCGTTTAATCCATTATAATTTGTACATGTTTATGTGAATTTAGATTACGTCCTACTCAACGGAGTGGGATTCAAACAAAATTTGTATGACTTAGAAAGAAATCAAGGCACGCCCAAGGTGAAAAAAAGAAAGAACGATTCAGATTTGACTGATAAAATCGACTTCGTTCAATGTGGATATTATCTCATATTTTATACCGTAATGTGGGTCAGGCGAAGTTTCAACCAGCATAGAGGTTGTCTATTAATATTGTTGTTAAATATATTTGGCATAAATTTCATGCATTTTAGAAAATGCTATGTTTTGATATCAAGTATTTGTTAATATTTCTGCTCAAAAACCAGCTGTCTTTTATTCAGTTTGAACAAGGGATTTGCACAAGTGCGTGTGTTTATAAAAATGCTTAAAAGGTAATTGCAGTGTTGTGTGTGACTAAAAATCAGGGCTCGATGTCACGCTGACATTTCGCTATTTTCTCAAATTTTAGTATTTTTAAAATAATTTCTATCCGTGGCCTCGAATAGAGATAAAGCGGAATCGTCCACAGAAATCACATGTTTTGCAAAGTAATATTGCGGAGATTAGTTTCCGATTATCTGATGACTACCGTATTGCCAGGCTTATCCATGGAAAACATATTTTTCCGTCCCATCCCATGCAGATCCTATTACCGAGGACCAGCCTGGGGATTTCTATGGGAATCTCATTTCCATGGACAATCCTGAAGATGACCCTCCCAAACAATAAATAATTTATACAAGTATATGAAGAGGAAGGCGAGTTAAAAACATTATAGAGATAAAAAAAAAAGTATAAAGACCAAGGTTAAGTCCGACGTGTTCAGATTGCTGTGATATGGCTACTATCTCATCGAAAATACAAATGCGTGTTGCTGCATCCCATCCCATGGACAAGCCTGCTCTGACTATAATTCTTTTACGCGCATGAGATAATGTCCGCGAGATAAGTTATGAATGCACTGGTTATATAACGCTTTCGCGACAATATAATGTAGTTACGTGAAGTGACCTTTTAAGGTATGTATGACAAACTTATTTAAAACAATTAAGGCTTACATTGAATGGAGCAAAACAAGGTGTGTATAGTTCCAAAATCATGGCACCACATAGCTGGAAATCACCTATAGCGGCTCCTACATTGAATGATGAATGACGAAATCAAAATACCTTAAATTAAAACTAATTGGACTATAGGAACTACATATTTGAAAAATGTGCCTCAAGGGACTTTTCTTATATACAAAGTCAAACAAATCGTTTTTGAAAAGGTCGCACTAGTTTATAGTCTAAGTATTTTGTCATCTTTTATTCTGTACATAGGCCAAGAAGAAATGTACGTACCAACTTTTGCGCGTTTCTATTTGACCCTTACGACGATGTTGAGTATCAATTGCTTTGCAAAGCAGAGTGGTAAGTAATTTTGATTTGTATCGTGGAACTTATTATCTTATAAATTGTCCAAGGACATGCGTAAAATATACACACTGGTCACGGCGTATAAATATTTGTCAAGCGACCAACATTTGGACTTACCCCTACAATGATATTATACTTGATGGTATATGATTGAGTGCAAAATATGCGAATATATATAATAAAAGTTGTCAAATGAAGTTTACTACATAACTAATTACTGCGATGATGCATCTTATCGCTAGCATCATTCGTCTGGCATTTTTGAGAGGCAAAAAATTTGTGAATGTTGGCTCACAAAAAACTACTTTTCTTACTTTTATGCCTGTGAATCTGAAACTAATTATCTTATCCAAATGGTATTGCATACTACACGCTAATTGTGTACTATTTCCATTGTTGAAGGAGTCATAAAAACTGATACCCGGGCCTCTATATTCGGGCAAATATTACATATGCACACTGAGTGTCTGTAAGGCAGTGGTTCTCAACGGCAGGTACGCGTGTACCTTTTTGGCTGTCCGTCGAATAAATTTAAAAAACTTGCTTGAAAATATGTCTGAGCAAAAGAAGTGTCTGAGCGGCTTCATAAATTGCAATTGTTGAGTCATTGTTAACTTATTGCTTATTTGTCATTGGTACGGAAATTAACAAAGAACTCGATAATTGGGGAAGCGTCTATTGAGGCGTAAACAAACTTGGTCACCGAACTTACGCCCATTTCAAACTCTGACCCTGAACGACTGGATATTTCGTTAAGTCGATCCCTTTATACGCGGATACCTTTTTGTTACATTTTTGGTTATAGCTTGAAAAGAATATCGCGAGCTCAGCCATTTATCCAATAAATTACTGCTGATTTTTTGTACAACTTACTTATGAGAGAAAATTTGTGAGTTTTCACAGCCAATCGAGTTTGATCTTGACATCTTTGATGGGTCAGAATAACAAAGTCGATTATAATATTGAAAAGGTAAGCACAGCGACGCAATATTTTGTTAGTGATAAGAGTTCGAACTACAGATCTACAAGTACGGTAAAGAGACGCAACCTTCATTGAAGCACTGAGGTTATATATTTTTTCCAAGTCAAATCCTAGGCCCCTAGGGTATGAGGGTATGGTGAGATCAACCTGGCGAAATTGGGAGGAATGAAACCAGAATTTCTTTTAACCTTAAAATAGGAGCTATTCCAGAATTAATATAAAGATTGGTTGACAAGATTTTAGTTTTTTTCCGAGTTCAGACAGACTAGCCACAGGACAATCAAGACAAGAATAAAGAATGTCGGCAGCAGAAATGAGTGAATTGCAGATACGATAATCTGAAAATATAACAAATATTAGGAACAATATAGGTCCAAGGATTAAGCCCCGAGGGACTTCAAAAGAAATATGTATTGCCTGTGAGCACCGGTCATCGACGAAACAAGTCGACTTTACGATCAGAGAGAAATGATTTAATGAATACTGACAAGATATATCATAGGATTGAATTTTGTGAAGGATTTCGACAACACCTATCACAATCTTTTGAAATTGTCGGGGAATTCATTTAACTTCACTCTCTGGACCAAATGTGCGTCATATCGTTCTGATTATAACTATTCGCGTATTGGCGATCGATTATTTGTCAGTTTCCAGATCATCCACTATGATCTGAAAAACTTATCAGTCCACAACTACGTATGGGGTGTAAAATCGTGTTTCCCAGTTTTCTTCATTGCTCCACACACTTTTGATCAGTCTTCTGTTATGTTCACATGATTGAGTTTCTATTCACTATATAATCACAGATTTGAATTTGATCACTGAATGTAGAAAAACTAATAATGACTAGACTCGAATAAACAAATTTTGCAATATGTTTTTTACTTTTTGTGATGGCTGACACATTTGCTTTTAGCGACACAGGAGGTAAAATTACCCCCTGGCGTAGTCTTGATTGATTCTCAAATATGGGGAGGAAAACCATCGTCTCCAATTGTCGGGGGAACCATTTCTGAACCCAACAAATGGCCTTGGATGGTATTTATTAGACTATCGGGAAATACACAATGTGGTGGATGTTTGATATCGTCGGAGTGGATACTGACTGCTGCTCATTGCTTAGAACGGTATTTAATTTATCTTCTATCCTATTTTTATCCGTAGTACATTTAAACTTTATCAGTATTAAACAGTTTTACTTTTCGACAACAACAAGAACAATTAATCAATATTCATGAGGTATATATTTGAAAATATCAAATTTTCATCACGACCATTATATTTTGTAAAAAGCTCAATACTATTTGAGCTTTTATTCTATATAAGATAGAATCAACAATGACAAAGGCTTCGTTTCAATTAATAAAAAAAAGTTCAATAAAGTTGTTGAAGTAGCAAGTGTTTTCACCAGTTATGTTTACTAATCACAAAATTTGAGATATTTCGTTATTATATAATTTGCGAACGCCATTCTCCGCATACACGAATTTACCAAAACAATAATTTGATTTACTGGTGGATAAACAGCATATTTCAATTTTGGTTTGGGAACATTCGTGGCTCATATTTATTTAGCTGTGATATTTGTATTGTGCATGTATGATTATAAAATAAAATTAGAACTCATTTTGAAGAATTTCCAGCGATAAAATGCTTTCTTCCCGTTAGGCATTCAGTTGAAGAAATTGTAATTGGATCAAATTATAACGACGGATCAGATACCAACGCTATTGTTCGAAAACTTGACCGGAAGTGCTGTCATGAGAGTTTGTATAAATTATTTTATTCTTAAACATCCAATTTACGTCTTGGGAAGTTAGTTAATATTTTAAATCTGTATTTCCCTCTACTGAACCTTGTTCAACGTGACGATGTGAAAACATCTAGTAAAAATTTTGTCGCGAACAAATACCACATACTATGCGCAAATTTTGTGGAAAACAACACATATATATGTTAACGTTTTTAGACTTCGATAGAAAATCTTGGGAGAATGATATTTGTCTTGTCAAGCTATCGTCGTCTGTCAATTTTACTAAAAATGTGGAAAGTATAGATCTACCTAGATCAAGATCGAAAATGTCGGATAATAGTGTTTGCACAGTTTTAGGCTGGGGTTTAAACGAACGTGAGTATTTCGGAAAAGTTACATGGAATTTCATAAACGTTGTATTCATTTGATAAAATATTTTAGGTTATTAATTCACAGATCAGAAACTTCTTCCTGGATTACACGAAGCGAATGTTGCGGTTATTAATTTACAACAATGTAGGGAATGGTATGCTCGAGACATGGTGCAAATTCCTGTCACACATTTCTGTGCAGGGTAAATAGACAATTTGAAATGTTTATTTTTGTCATTAATATTAAAATTTGGATATGTGACTCTACAGAAGTTTTTAAAGCCTTAAATCATAACCTCATACAATATTGGACAATTTTGTTAAAGCTTTCTATAAAAAATATTTTACCAAACTAAGTGGTTTTGGTGTCAAAACTATTTGAGACAACCCCTAGTATGACACCAGACCCCAGTAGATTTTATTCACGTTACTAAAATACCTCTCATCGACCCAATATGATCAGTTAAAAATGACACGACAAATAATTTACATATTTAAATGCACGGTGTTAATTTAAAGTGATGAATAATATCGTGTCTCAAAACTAAAAAATTATTATTCAAAATTAATTATAAAAATTAATTGCCTCTGCTGCTAGCTGTAGTTTCTAAAATGAAATGACCTTCGGCGACGGAATCACTAGAAATTTATTTTGGTTGTGAAAATACTAATACGAGCAACAAAGATTTGATAAAATCTGTAATTCAAAATCCCCTGAAAAAACTTCTCGGAATCTGTCCGTACGTGAACTTTTGCTGGTTGACTTTAGTAGTCACAATTTTGTGTTGGGTTTAATATTTGCTAGCGTTATTATTTATCAAATATTCAATTAAAATAGGCTGACTTGAATAATACAAATTTTTGAAAAAGAATCCGGCTGCGATTCTTTGTTCCTCATTTTTAGTTCACATGAGTATTATTCCATCTTTGCATACTAACAATGCTCTATTTTATTAATTAACCTTTCTAAGATTTAATTGTGGTTAAAATGAAAATACTCGGCATTCTTATACGTTTGATTGTTTTAAGAAACGTATCTGGCGGCGCGGACACATGCGCTGGGGACAGCGGTGGTCCTCTGATTCATAAGCAAGGCGATAAATACATATTGAGGGGAATAACCAGTTTTGGTGCCAAAGTGTGTGGAGTGCCTGCGAGGCCCGGGGTCTACACAAGAGTCAGTCGCTACATATCATGGATAAGAAGAAAAATGAGTCAACCCGCATGTATGGGTGAGCATATTTACGATTTCCTTAATTACAATATGAAAGACGATAAAGATTTTTCAAAATTGCACTAATAATGCCATACAAAAAAATTAAAAATTTTTTTATACAATATATGCGTGAATAATTTTGATTTTTTGTCTATTGCAAAGTCGAACAAGCGCTGTTTAGTTTAACGATTTCATCCTCCAATAATGGTTGGCTGGTTTGGGCAAAGATTTTCCGAAATTTGTCTTCAATCGAACAGCTGAGCGCTGTCCTGAGAAATATTCTAATTCAGAAGAGCGGATCATGTTAAAATATTATGCGAGTCGGTGTGATTCGGCATGCGATATCCTACTGGCGTGTTTTCCTCTTTTACTGGGCTGTTGCTGAACTATGAACGTAACAATAAATTTGATCAAACAAATGTATCAGCGGTATAAAAGTGATAACAGTATTTCCATTTGAATAACAGGTTTAAGATGGGATCCAATTTTGAAATTTACATTTGTTCTTTAGTCGTTAGTTAAGAAAACACGTAGCAAATAACGCCTTATTACACCGACAGAGGTTTATATATTACTCATTCAAGAAAAGAGCAGAACTGATTTATACTGAAAAGAGAACTCAAAATATGTATCGTATGCCTCTGATATTGCAAGTAAACTAGTAAACTTGCAATGGTGTTTACCAAGTTTGAATGTTTTTTAACATGTGATATCATTATTATGAAAGTTACAGAAGTATCATGGAGTCAATGGGTCGAAACATGCTCTGTTACCTGTGGTGATGGTATTAAAATTAAACGACGAAGATGTATGGCAGAAAAAGGTCGATCTATATCAACAAATCAATGTTCTGGAAGGTTTGTAGATTATGGATCATGCACGGAAGCATCTTGTGAAAGTAAGTAGAAATGAAAAGGTGGTGGCATATTTATTGTTTTATTTTGAGGTCGGTTTTTTTTAAATGGTGATTTCATATTTAGACTTTATTGAACTATTGGAAAAGGTAAATATTACTCAAGTGTTTCGCGGGATTTACAATAAACTCAAGACATTGAGTAATATATTACAAAATTTTCATTCTGAAAATCTAAGAGAGAGTACTTTTGTCTGGATCGACAGTTCAATGAATTAAATCAATTCTAGATCACTTTAATGTACGTTTTCTCGGTGTATGGACTGTTATTCTCACAAATAAATTTTTCACCATATTTAAAACAAATTCCGTTACTATATTGCAATATTAGCAAATCTTTCAAAGCGTTTTGAGGTCGGTATGCATTACAACGGAACAGGATGTGAGGTTGTAACAGAATGTAAGGGAATTTTCTTTATTTTCCTCTCTTGCCTCAACTTTCGTGCATGGTTTGCATTATATTGAGATATCATTTATTACAGTACAAATAAATTATTTCACAATTCATTTTGCTCTTTTTATCTCCGGGGTATTTGATATTTAGGTAATGAATATTTTTATAGCAGGCAATCGTTGGGGAGCTTGGGAAACAAAGTGCAGCGTTACTTGCGGAACTGGCATTAAAACTCAAAAACGTAAATGCCTTGACAAGAATAACAATGCCGTTCCTCAAATTTCATGTTCTGCTGGCAATGATACGAAAATTGGAAAATGCGTTTTGCCCGCCTGCCAAAGTATGTACATCAAATAAATACATTTTTGAGTACTCCCGTAGTATGTGTACCAGGTTAGGGTTAAGCCATAATTTTATTCCGATTTTCTATATTTTAGTTCTATTACGAGTTAGAGCGCCCATTTTTGTACTTAAAATGGACCGGGGAGTTATTTTAATTTTAGAATAAATATTGCCTCATCGTGATGCAATTCGACATTGGTGTCCACATATTCGCGCAATTCTCCTCAGGCAATTAAATGTCAACCAAGTTCTTTCCAAATCATGATCATCTACATCAACTTTTTTCAACTTCAGAAAAACAAATTCAACAAAAACTAATGATACCAAAGTTCAAAACAAACCTCTGCGGCCGGCCACTGGCCTCAAACGATATCTTGCGTGGTTTAAACTAACTCAAAATACTTCTGCGGTACTCCCGTAGTATGTGTACCAGGTTAGGGTTAGACAATAATTTTATTCCGATTTTCCTTATTTTAGTTCCATTACAAGTTTGGGGACTGTCTGTGTTAGCCAAGTGAATACCCCCCCTTTATTAACTTTATATTCATACCTATCATACATGTGTCCATCAGCCCCTTCACGAAATATGTTGTTAATGCTGAATATATTAGGATTGACATTCTGAAGAAAAAGTATAGTTATGTAACATTCATTTGCAACATTTTAGCATATCATTGGGGACCATGGAGTACTATATGTAGTGTTACTTGTTCTGTTGGAATCAAAACACGCACGAGGAGGTGCCTTGATCAAAACGATAATCATGTATCTCAGACTCTGTGTACACCCGGCGATGATGAAGAAACTGGAGTATGCGACCTGCCAGCTTGTTTGAGTAATTTTTTTTTCCTTTCCTGTAATTCGTTTCATATACCGAAATATATTATTGATTTTGAATGAAGAATTCAAAGCATAGATGTCAAATACGACTGACTCATTGTTCGGTTCGCCACTGCCATTTCTATATTTAGAGCAGACAAGGTGTACAAGATTTAGGGTACGGTGACGATAGAATATCTAGTACTTATCATGAAGTGCCAGATCTATTCTTTCTAAAACTAATGATCCTAAAAGCATTTTTAAAAAAGCATTCAGCTGGACATCGTGGACCACAAAATGTAGCGTTACGTGCGGAAACGGTATTGAAACAAGAGTCAGAGAATGCATGGATTCCGATAGAAATGTTGCAGATCCTAGCGAATGTAAAGGGGAAGATTACGTAACAGGACAATGTATTCTACCGGCATGTAAAAGTACGTATGAAAACCATTTTATTTACCACGATTTGTCCTATTCGAATTTAGAGAAAACAGATAATGAATTACGGCATTCGCAATTTTAGGTGACAGATTGTCAATATCATACTTAAATACATAAGGAAGATCTCTGCAACCTCGTCACAAACAAATGACAGTATTGTGACAGTATTAAAGTGGTTCAATTCTGAGCAAAGTGATTATCTTATGAGAACACATTCAGTTACTCTAACCAAAATAAAATTATTACCAACTATTTCAGCGTATTCGTGGGAAGACTGGGTAACAAAATGCAGCGTGACTTGTGGAAAAGGGGTTGAGACGAGAACTAGACAATGTAAAGATTCTGACAATAAAATTGCTCTGGCATCCAAATGTCATGGACAATCGAATATAACAACAACGTGTGCTTTACCGCCATGTAAAAGTAAGTAATATAAAGAAAACAATACTCTTGAATTCATAGTACTATAAAATCCAAATTACTGGATAAAACATCTACCTTTCCTCTGGCAAACAGAGCAATATTACTGTTTTTGCTAATTGACTTAGATATAATATAATAACTCATTGAAAGCGTTATTTTGGAAATGATTTTGTCCCTTTGCATTTTATTTTATATATCCTATATGAGCCAGTATTCATATCGAACATTGCAAGAATAATTCAACGAAAAAGATGTCCCTGTCTTATTTATTCCAATCCAAATATATTATTATGATCCAGCATATTCTTGGGGAGAATGGGTGACAAAATGCAGTGTGACTTGTGGTGAAGGGGTTGAAACGAGAACCAGGCAATGTATAGATTCTGACAATAAAACTGCTACGGCGTCTAAATGTAATGGGAGATCAAATACAGTAGCAACATGCAGTTTGTCACCTTGCGAAAGTAAGTAAAATAAATATAAACTCTTTCTCAATCACAGCCATATTTTGAATAAGAACAAATTGTTGTTGTTGTTAAATTGACCACAATGTTAAATATTGCATTGAGCGATTACATTTTATATTAAGCTTTCAGCTGGACCGCATGGTCAACTCAGTGTAGCGTTACGTGTGGAAATGGTACAGGGACAAAAACCAGAAAATGTGTGGGTTCTAATAGTAATGTGACATCGAATAACAAATGCGAGGGAAAGGCTGAAGCAAAAGAAGAGTGCAGATTAACTCCCTGTATAAGTAAGCATAATTAATAAAATTATATATATATTAATATCAGGACAGGATTTACAATATCTAAACTCGAACTGCGTTGGCACTATAAAATTTATTTTCTCTCTAATAAAACCCTTTTTGCTATACGGGCAGCTGCACCCTTTGCTGTCGAAATTACAGACCGAACGTGCCAATAACGCTCTCAGCTAGGGACTAAGGGACTAATGGTTGATGAAAGCCATAACACTTTTAAAAATGACCCATTCGAAATGGCTTCAGGGGAAGTGTCCCAAGAAGAGTTGTTAGCATATTCTTGGAGTGAATTGGCGACAAAATGCAGTGTTACCTGTGGCGAAAGAGTCGAGACAAAAAGGAGATAGTGCATTAATTCTAACAATAAAACTGCTGCAGAATCTAAATGTAGTGGGCAATCGAATATAACGAGTTCGCTATGTAAACGTACGTAAGCGAAGGAATAATTCCTTTCCGTGTCACCATCGATGTATTCATTGAGTATTGCGATTAAATTGTGAGTGAAGTTTTTTTTTTAGTCTACGTTTGGGGACCATGGGACACGCAATGCACAGTGACCTGTGGGGAAGGAATCAGATTACGAACAAGAAAGTGCTTGGACAAAAACAAAAATAACACATCCTCACCGTGGCTGTGTCTACCGGGTGAAGCCGAAGATACCGGAACGTGCAAACTGTCTGCATGTCCGAGTAAGTCATAAATTAAAATTAAATATTAACTTTTTATTATGAAAACCTAAGTTTTTTTTTATAGTGTAATGTCGAATTAATAAAATTAAATAGTTTTATTTGTTATTGTAACCAACTATATAACTTGAAATCAAAAAATTTAAATTATCAGCGCATAAAACAGAACGTTCAAGAAACAAAAGGAAACATTCCCTGTTGCATACCGTGTTTCCCCGAAAATAATACAGGGTCTTATTTCAATTTTCTTTCGAAAAATAACACTAAGACTCATTTTTTTGGAGGGGGGAGTTTTATCTTCTTCATTGCACCCTTTCCTCTCCCACGCGTTTTTGATTAATCATTTAAAACGTGTATAGGAGAAGTTCTTGCTATCGACTAGGTCAAAAAAATTCGGGCTATCGACTAGGTCTTATTTTGAAGGGAGGGCTTACATTGAAATCATTTTTAAAATTCAGGCTAGGTCTCATTTTCGGGAAACACCGTAGGAACCAAATTCTTACCAAAAGATCTTGATCAAGATAACAAAATTGTTGACAACGCAAGTCTTTGTCTCCAATAAAAACAGAAACGAGTAAAAAATTTTAAATTTAGTGAGTATTTTTCCAAGCATATAGATGGAGCTCATGGCAATCCGAATGCAGCGTTACTTGCGGGAGAGGAATTGAAACCAGTTCTAGAAAATGTTTGGATTCAAAGGACAACCAAGTATCCACGTCATATTGCAGAGGTCGTAAAACAAGGAAGAAAATTTGTACACAAGCACCCTGCAAAAGTAAGCATATATCAATCTATGCAGTGATCTTTATTTAAATTTCCTATTGCTAATCCATGAAGTATATCCGGTCTTACTAGTCGTTGATAATCAAAAATAGGTCAATCAACTCTGAAATTTCTAGGTAAATATAAATTGTATCGGTCTGACTACTTTATCAGTTTTTTAATCAGCTGACAAACTTCGGTCTAATTTATCATTGTAAGCCAATTCTTCCACAATCTTCCATATGTTGAAATTTCCGAATAAATTGGCGCTTAGGATGATATTTCTGCAATTGCCATTCGGAGTAAGATAATAACGTGTCATTGTAAGTGAATTAACTTTTGCATAGGTAGAAAATTAAACGCAATCTTTTGATCGTATCATCGCAAAATTAATCCCAGGATGAAAGTAATGCCGATTTGCTTGAAATTAATTATTTATTTACCATACTTCAGCGTATTCTTGGGGAGAATGGGTAACAACATGCAGTGTGACTTGTGGTGAAGGGGTTGAAACGAGAACCAGACAATGTATAGATTCTGACAATAAAGCTGCCACGGCGTCTAAATGCAACGGGGGATCGAATATAGTAACAACATGCAGTTTGTCATCTTGCGAGAGTAAATAAATAAAAAATTATACTGTTTCACAGCCTTATTTCGAATAAAAACAAATTGTTCATTTATTAAATTCAACAGAATTTGCTTTAAATGATATATATATATATATATTCAACTACGCAATCATATCTAAAACGAAAATATAAGATGTCATTAAAGAATAGTTTAAAATGTCAAATATTGCATTGGCCGATTGTATTTTATATTCAGCTTTCAGTTGGACCGCATGGTCTACTCAGTGTAGCGTTACGTGTGGAAACGGTACAGAAACAAAAACCAGAGAATGTGTGGGCTCTAATGGTAATGTGACTTCGGATAACAAATGCGAGGGAAAGGCTGAAGCAAAAGGAGAGTGCAAGTTATCTCCATGTAGAAGTAAGCTTACCTAATAAAATAAATCGTATATTAATATCAGGGCAGGATTTACGATATATATATCTTTAACTGTATCTTTCTTATGGAATGGCGTTATGAAATTTATTTTCTCTATCATAATTTTAGCATATTCTTGGAGTGAATGGGCGACAAAATGCAGCGTTACCTGTGGCGAAGGAATCGAGACAAAAAGGAGGCAGTGCGTTGATTCTAACAATAAAACTGCTGCACAATCTCAATGTAGTGGGAAATCGAATATAACAACAAAGTGCACTTTATCGCTATGTAAACGTACGTAAGCAAAGAATCAATTCCAATCCATGACACCATCAATGTATTCATTGAGTATTGCGATTAAATTGTCACTGAAGATTTTTTTTTGATACTAACTGATTTTTAGTCTACCTTTGGGGACCATGGGACACGCAATGCACAGTGACCTGTGGGGAAGGAATTCGATTACGAACAAGAAAGTGCTTGGACATTAACAAAAATATTACATCTTCACCGTGGCTGTGTCTACCGGGCGAAGCCGAAGATACCGGAACGTGCAAACTGTCTGCCTGTCCGAGTGAGTCAGAAATTAAAATTCAAAATAAATTTTTTATTTTGAAAACCTGAGTTTTTTATAGTGTAATGTCGAATTAATATAATTAAATAGTTTTATTTCTTATTGTAGCCAACTATCTAACTTTAAATTTAAAAAGTTCAAATTATCACCGGGAATCATAGACATAAAACAAAACGTTACGAATCGAAACAAAAGGTAATGTGCTATGTTGCATCGAAACCAAAATTTGCGAAGAGATCTTGGTCAAGATAACAAAATCGTTGACTCCGCAAGCTTTTGTTCTTCAAGAAAAACAAATGAGTAAAACAATGAAACCAAAAGCTGGCAAAAAGATCTTGGTCGAGATAACAAAATCGTTGATTACGCAAGCCTTTGTTCTTCAAGAAAAACAGAAATGAGTAAAATAATATTAAAACTAGTGAGTATTTTTAAGCATATAGCTGGAGCTCATGGCAATCCGAATGCAGCGTTACTTGCGGGAGAGGAATTGAAACCAGTTCTAGAAAATGCTTGGATTCAAAGGACGACCAAGTATTCACGTCATATTGCAGAGGTCATAGAACGAGGAGGAAAATTTGTACACAACCACCTTGCAAAAGTAAATATATATCAATCTATGGTCCATGCAGTGTACAATATTTAAATTTCTATTACTAGTTCATTGCTACATGAATTCCTACTAGTTGGTGACAATCAAAAGTAGGAAAATAAATACTCTGAAATTTCTTGGTAAATATAAATTGGTCCAGTGTAACTAACTAACTTATCAGTTTTTTAAACTGACAAACTTTGGTTTAATTTGTCACTGGAAGCCAATTGGTTCACAATCTTTTTATCCAATACTAATATTGGTGAATCGTATGACTGCATTTCTGATATTTTTCAGAAGTAAGTTTAATTAATGCATTCTTATCATTGTTGTTTTCTAGTAATAGTACCACTTTTCATGTGATCCTATTAATTTAATATTTTAAAATATTTGATATATTGAACCAATGTGATAATCCATTTAAAATGCTTTAAACATTTATCACAGTGATATAATATTTGCAAATATTAGAAGTTTCCGATGATCCCAACAAACTAAAAATATTTTTAGGGTATCACTGGGGATCATGGGATTCTAAATGTAGCGTTACATGTGGAAGCGGCATCAGAATACGAAGTAGAGATTGCCTTGACGAAAATGATAAAATCGCAATTCGATCCTCTTTTTGCAGTCCCGGAAAGAATGAAGAAACAGGGAAATGCGACCTTTCGCCATGCCCAGGTATAGTAATAGTTTTTCAAATCATCACAATATTATGAATTTCGGACGTTTTATCAATAGTAGACGTGAAACTGAATAAGACGCATGGTGTGGGTGTAGTCGTAATCGCTAGTGTTTGATACTTTGTTAATGAAAAACGGAAATGAAATCAGGATCAAATCATGACGAATAATTTAATATTCATTCAATCCAGATCCCTCGATTGGTTGGTTATATTAAGTACACTTTTCGATTTCCGAGAGCGTTAAGTAAATGAGCATGACTGGTATTAATAATAAATAATTTCGTTGCTGCTGGCTAATTTATTAGTTATTGCCGACTCATTGACTAGTTTATTTGGTTATATATTAACTCTCGATTCTAGACTCCGATATAAAATAATACATTTATTTAATACATTACGCTCTGATCAATTTGGGATTGCCTGTTAATTTTATGTAGCAGAAAAAGAAGCTTTCATTATATTATTGCACCGTTTAATAAACATACGATTAAATTCAACAACGATAAAACATACGCATAAAATTATACAATTGCACCTTAGATAGAAATTGTCCGGATAAAAAATAGCATACCTTGCGAGAATAGAAATGGGGTCAATCAAATCTCAATTTGCTAACTTCCATTTATCAATACTTCATTTCCCCCTTTCTAATTAGGATAAATTCTTTCTCTTTATTTCTCACTCTTGTGGGGAAGTGGTCTTTTTCTAGCCTTTTTCTACCAATCAGAGACAAGATCATTTCTTTTTTTGATATGAGTAATTTAGAATGAGCAAGGATGTTTGTTTTTGCAGTTAGCATAAATACATTGGAACTAACTAACGCTTGTAAAATTGATCAGGTGACCTAATTTACGTGGTAATTAGGCTTCCCGCTGCTTGTCAGCAGGGAACCTATTGTATTCCTGTGTTTTATTATTATTAGGCTTCCCGCTGCTTGTCAGCAGGGAACCTATTGTATTCCTGTGTTTTATTATTATTATTATTATTATTTATTTATTTATTTATTTATTTATTTATTTATTTATTTATTTTTATTATTTTTTTTTCAAATTGGTCCTACAAACTTGAAATTCACCTCAAATGTGCAGAAGTTCTCAGCTAGCAATAAAATGCAAATTTTATGCATGAGTGACCACGCTTTCACGCTCCAGTGAGCAAAACGCGTTTTCAGTTTTTTTGCGATTCCTCAAAATTGATACATGGTATTGGGTTGAAATTCATAACAATGATTAATGGACATGTTCCGGATACGACATGTCAAGGATACGCATGAGTGACCTCGGCGATACGCTCCAGTGAGCAATATAGGATTTAACATTTTCATCTTCTTCTCGAGAACGACACTACTTAGAGACTTGAAATTTACATCACATGCAGATAATAAGTCCCCCATCATAAATTGCAAATTTTATGCATGACTGACCACGCTTTCACGCTCCAGTGAGCAAAACGCGTTTTCAGTTTTTTTGCGATTTCTCAAAATTGATACATGCTATTGGGTTGAAATTCATACCAATGATTAATGGACATGTTCTGGATACGATATGTCAAGGATACGCATGAGTGACCTCGGCGATACGCTCCAGTGAGCAATATAGGATTTAACATTTTCATCTTCTTCTCGAGAACGACACTACTTAGAGACTTGAAATTTACATCACATGCAGATAATGAGTCCCCCATCATAAATTGCAAATTTTATGCATGACTGACTACGCTTTCACGCTCCAGTGAGCAAAACGCGTCTTCAGTTTTTTTGCGATTTCTCAAAATTGATACATGCTATTGGGTTGAAATTCATAACAATGATTAATGGACATGTTCCGGATACGATATGTCAAGGATACGCATGAGTGACCTCGGCGATACGCTCCAGTGAGCAATATAGGAATTTACATTTTCATCTTCTCCTCGAGAACGACACTACTTAGAGACTTGAAATTTACATCACATGCAGATAATAAGTCCCCCATCATAATTTGCAAATTTTATGCATGACTGACCACGCTTTCACGCTCCAGTGAGCAAAACGCGTCTTCAGTTTTTTTTACGCGGGAAGCCTGTTAAAGCTGCACGCAGCTCTAGTTATTATTATTATTATTTATTTATTTATTTATTTATTTATTTTTATTATTTTTTTTTCAAATTGGTCCTACAAACTTGAAATTCACCTCAAATGTGCAGAAGTTCTCAGCTAGCAATAAAATGCAAATTTTATGCATGAGTGACCACGCTTTCACGCTCCAGTGAGCAAAACGCGTTTTCAGTTTTTTTGCGATTTCTCAAAATTGATACATGGTATTGGGTTGAAATTCATAACAATGATTAATGGACATGTTCCGGATACGACATGTCAAGGATACGCATGAGTGACCTCGGCGATACGCTCCAGTGAGCAATATAGGATTTAACATTTTCATCTTCTTCTCGAGAACGACACTACTTAGAGACTTGAAATTTACATCACATGCAGATAATAAGTCCCCCATCATAAATTGCAAATTTTATGCATGACTGACCACGCTTTCACGCTCCAGTGAGCAAAACGCGTTTTCAGTTTTTTTGCGATTTCTCAAAATTTATACATGCTATTGGGTTGAAATTCATACCAATGATTAATGGACATGTTCTGGATACGATATGTCAAGGATACGCATGAGTGACCTCGGCGATACGCTCCAGTGAGCAATATAGGATTTAACATTTTCATCTTCTTCTCGAGAACGACACTACTTAGAGACTTGAAATTTACATCACATGCAGATAATGAGTCCCCCATCATAAATTGCAAATTTTATGCATGACTGACTACGCTTTCACGCTCCAGTGAGCAAAACGCGTCTTCAGGTTTTTTGCGATTTCTCAAAATTGTGAAATTTACATCACATGCAGATAATAAGTCCCCCATCATAAATTGCAGAGTTCATGCATGACTGATCACGGCTCCAGTGCACATAACATAATTTTCAGTTTTTTTCGCATATCTCAATTACTATTGAATATTATGAACTCAAACTTGGTATTTGAGGTCGGTTGATACACCACAACTTATGTTAGCCTTTTGGGGTAGCACTCCCGGTCACATGGCTAAGTCATGCATGAGTGATTTTTTCATATTTTACGTTATTTATTAATATTTTTATTATTTTTTTTTTCAAATTGGTCCTACAAACTTGAAATTCACCTCAAATGTGTAGAGGTACTCAACTAACAACAAAATGCAAATTTTATGCATGAGACCACGATTTCACGCTCCAGTGAGCGTGTTTTTTTTTTGTGGTTCCTCAAAATTGATAAACGGTTTTGGGTTGGAATTTATAACAATTATTGATGGACATGTTCCTCATATAAAATGTCAAAGATAGAACTCAAACTTGGTATTTGAGATCAGTTGGTCCACCACTACTTGTGTTCGCCTGTTGGGGCTGCACTTCCGGTCACGTGACTAAATCGTGCATGAGTCATTTTGTCCTATTTCTCGTTAAAATAGTTTCTTGCTGCATCAAAACATGTCACGAGGAGTCATGCTGTCGAAACATGGTATATGAGTATCTCTAACTTGGAATGTGAATTCATAGGGTCTACCTTTGTAAATTATTTCCAAAGAATATCAACTATTCACTACGTGTGTATTTTGTAAGTTTCTCTTCACAAAAATAGATAAATCACAACTTGCGTATTTTGAATGTATTTAGGATGAGACGGGGACTGGGACGAAACTCAAAGCTATTCGAATACCATTATGGTAGCTATAATACGTCGGCAATGATTCTACAGTTACTTTACATGTTTTCATTTTTATGTACACGTGATCCAAAAGAGTACACCCGTCTGTGGTGTAAGAGTGAACAACCTGAGTAAAGCCAGCAATGCTGAACATCTGCTCGATACATTTATTGTCAGCCAACAGATCTTCATTGAAATCGCCCATTATGAGACAGTCCATATCCAGATTTGCAAGTTCTTTTAACAAAATCTTTAACGAATTGCTAAATTTCGACAAAGGATAAGATGGCGGCCTGTAAATACTCACTAATACGGTATCTTTTTCGACGAGCAGAAGGCATAAAAATTCCAGGTTAAGAACTTCAATTTCCCCCCTTGTTTTTTTGTTTTAAATTGTCCGAAAAAATCATCGTTTTTATCATAGCATTCACTTCTGTTTCGAATTACGATATTAAAAACAGAAGATTGAAGTGAGCAGATTCCGTTCGTTTCAGTCAAGCAAATAACGTCGCATTCTGTAAACCGGGAATCACTCATCAAGTCTTCCCAATGTGCACGTAATCCTTGAATATTTATCAAACATATTTTCAATATAATATCGATATTATCAAATGTTTTGCATTTTCAGGTGAAAATCGAGACATATTTGACATGGCACTTTCAATTCCTTCGTCGCAATATATAGCGCTTTCCCTGAAATTTTCTATGATGAGATTCTGAACACATCTCACCCTACTGAGCGCGACATACATTTGACCAGCTCTAAAGGCTTTTTTGAAGTCAACGAGAGCTGCGTCCACTGTAACACCTTGCATTTTATGAATAGTGCATCCCCACGACAGTGGGGAAACTGTTTGTAACTGCCGCGGCCTGAAAATGAATCTTCGACTTTTGTGATAGGAAACGCCGTCCTCATATCTGCATTTTGATCTCATTCTCAATGGCGGCGCCAACACGATGGTCGTCAAATCGGACATGGATGACATCCACTTCAATTGTACCTTCTGCGCGGTGAATGCTCACAATGGTACCAATTACACCGTTAACAAGTCATCGGTTGCATCAATGTTGCGTAGCAACATCACCTAGCCTCAACAGAAAATTTCAAAGTCTTTTGCAATTGACCCATTGGTATATATGTCCGACAGCTGGATGAGCGATTTTCTGACGTGGGAGTTAAAACATCAGCAGCTATTTCTACTATTTCCTCATCAAGAGAAAGAAGACGTTTCAAGTTGAATTCATTCACTTGAGCGTTCGTTGGGTAAAT